TAGTAAGTACATATTCAAGCTAAGTCACCTCAGTAAAAGACATGGAGCTCATAAGATTTTATACCAAAACGTATTTGTTGAATTTGAACAGGCTGAAATTCAACATACAGATCCACCCAGTGAGTAAGAACGGAGGAGAGATATTTTAAAAACTCATAGTATATGCAGAAGTAACAAAAGATGGAGTATGTTTTGACAGATATTTATCAAGTTGATTTCTGAGAAGACAGTCAAATACTACCATGACTGTGCATTCAGCTACAATACAGTAGCAAGGGTGGTGTGCATTAAAACACTCTCTACTGGTCAAGTTCCATTAACAGGACAAAAGCCCAAACTATTGTCTCTTTTAGTAAAAGATGGCTTCCCAGTACTAGCTGAGGACTTGGGTTCATGAGGTAGTAGAAGGGAATTCCAGGCTTACAACCAGGATTAAGATCTGTGAGTATGGACAACCTGAAAAGTATGGCATATTGTCCATTGATTTAACTTTTCTGCCCTTCCTCTGAGTTTATGTGAGGCTTTAGGTTCCTGAAGAATTCCTGATTGCTTCACAAGTAGAGGTCATGGAGGAGTTGATATATAATTGATGCAGAAGACTGTTAGGGCAAAGAGCTCTGTGCCTAGAGGAAGGCACACAGTTTCTAAGAAAAGAATATCACCTGGAGTGTTATAGAATAAGGCCTCAGAAAACTGCTGATGTAATGGATTTTTAAGCAGTCCCTACCTAAGAGACCTTCCTTCCCCTTGACAAAGTCAGTAGCCATCTATAAATACTGATACATAAACTTTCAGCTATGAAATCAAAGTTATTTTGACTATGGTTTGCAAACACATATTTCAAATGGAACCTATTCAAATGTACATAAACTTGTTTGCCATATTTGTGCAATATTTTCCCACCTTTTAAAAATACATTCTGTAGCAACAAAGTTAAAGCAGAGTCAACCAGGCACAAGTTTTGAGATGTTTCAAAAATGTTTCTTATAACAAACTTGATTAGAAGCAAAAAGGATAATGATGTAAATATTTTAAACACAAAGTAAACAAGACAGCTTCACCTCTACCCACCCCCATGAAAAAAAAAAAAATTAAAATGGGCCAACCCCTCCCAAAAATCCCCTAGGCTACCAACAAAGTTTTCAAGAATACTGAAGAAGAAACTTTATTGAAAAAGAAATTTTAAAATTACAAAAATGTTTAACAAAACAAAAAAGCAAAAACATCAAAACCACTAGGAGATAGTTTTATAAAGTCTTTTTTCATCAGCTAAGAAATAAGACTTTCATAAAGGTCTAGCATTACTTGAAAACACAGTGTATGGAAGATGGATCTTTTCTTGAGCCATATACTATCCAACAGCCAGAAACTCAAAATCAAATGCAAACTGAGTATTAACAAATTTTTTTGAAAGACTGTTAAAAGTGTTTAAGTCTGTTAAGTATGTTAAATTGCTTAATAATTCTCACTGGAAAACACAGAAACTACAGCATTTGAATTGGTTAAAGCTGGAGTGTACAAAACTTCTATTCCCACTGGGAACAATCCTACATCTACAAGGCATTTACAAGGTATTGGACAAGATGACCTCAAAGGTATTTCCATCCCTTATTTCTTTGACTCAATGAATAAGCATGAACCTAATCAGAATAGGTGTACTGTTTATCTAAGCAATAACATTCAGTTAACTGGAGCACACAAGGGAATTGTGTACTCTTATGCTGCTGATTAAACAAGATCAAAAAGCTTTAAAATAGGCTTTGGAGTTTTAATTTGCAGACCTTGGTAGGCATCTGTATTGTAGTAACCTATATATAACCTTGGACCTATGAAACAAATCTTAAATAAGAGGTTTTCAGTAGGAAAATAGTTTGTAAAGCACAAAGGCTATAGACTTCAACTCTAAGACTACATGTAAAATAATGTGCTATAATTCTTCAGACACACAGGCTTGAAGAAAGTAATTTCATAAAGGAAGAAAGAAAATTCAAAAAGCTTCTTATATCAAGAGTAGCTTAGAATACAAAGTATTGCTGGATATTTTTTTCTTGCATGACTATTAGTTTTTACCTTTGCTTACGTGAATTCAACTGTTGATTTAATGTCCCACACAATCCTTTCTTCCTTGTCCAAGTACTCAAATGTCAGAAGTAAATCAAGCAATTTCAGCAAGATTATGATATTACCATTGTTAGTTACTATATTTACAATTTTGAAAAGCATATCCTTTCCCATTAAAAAGTATTCTCATACAAGGTAGCACATAGGATGTTTTTGACAGTAAAGCAAACTGCAAAAAAAAAAAAGCAAAAAAAAGGTGATAGGTCTGGTCAGTGGAACTGTGCTCCATGTAAATGAAGGTTTACTGGTATTATTAGCTCTGCACCAAGCTGGATTTTAAAACACTAGAGATTTACTCCTTTTCAGTTGTGGTCTTGTTTGTTTTCTGCTTCTCACTATACATTAAAAAAATGCCATATCACTAGAACTAGAGTTATAAAGTGAAGTCTCTTTGTGCAAGAAAGAACAAAATTGCTGACTGCTGATGGTGGACAAATGGAAACGACTTGGTCTCTTGGTCTGTCAGCCAAGTGTGTGTGGTAGAGAGTCTTTGCTGTAAAACGCTACCATGCATTCTTAGTCTATTATTCAGACATTTTTCAGGTCATTAGATCATGATTGCATTTGATATCCCAATATATTGGCACTGGTTAAAATCACATAATGTATCACAGCCCTTTTGACAGAAATTCACACTGTGCTACTTAAGACAGCCCAAATGGCATCATGATCTGGCTTTTGGGATCAAAAGACTTTTGACAAGTTAATTTAGATATAAACAACAGCTGTTATATTGTAGAAAGTACTTGGTTTTGGATCAACAGATTCTTAACCATCAGATTAATTTGAGTATTTTTTAATATAATATTTTTCCTTTGGAAAAATAAACTATTTTTAGCTATGATCTTGATTGGTTTTTTCTTATTAGTGAACTGTGAACCCAATAACTTGTTTTTACTTTATAAAGTTTTGCACATTATTATTAATTTTCAATATCTTCTGTTAGCTCTACCTTTCCCCTTTCACCACAATCATGCAGGTCTCCATTTTTTATCACCTTTTTTTTTTCACCCTTTATTTCATTTTTTTCCAAAGAAAAATGTAACCTCTACTATATTTGAGCAAAATTAGCATAAAATTAATGCATTCATTGTAGTCCTTGCAAAGATTATTAAAAAGACAACAAAGTTGTAGTTGAAGACTGAAAGGGGAAGAAAATGAATCTTTAACTGCAAAACAATATCACATTTTGAAAAAAAAAATCTTACATCAAGAAACTGGAAAAGAATGGAACTCCTAGAAAAATATAAAAAGCCCCAATCAATTAACATAAAGATTTTAAAAACTTATAACTTTAAAAACTTTAAAATATGTAACTTTAAGCCAAATAAGTTGGTGCATAAGTTGCATCTCCCCTATATTTTCTGGTATAAGACATGTACAAAGAAGAAACATCTGAAAGTTTAATCAAAAAGAAGGTGGTATGCAAGGAAAAAAAAAGTGAAAATTCCTTCAGTGAAGATCTTTCAGACAGACTGGCTAATGAAAACAAAAATCCCCACAACAACAACACTATCAACTGTTGTTTCAAATTGTCAACATGTTGACAATTTATGGTGCTTAATAACAAGATGTTCCACTTGGATATGTCCTATAATTACCTGAATTTACCTGAGATAAAATCTAAATATAACCTATTCAACATTTTGCAAATTATTTGGTTAATGTTACATAGGAGGTGAGGTCACAAAATTTTGTATAGAAAACTTTAAAAGAAAAGTGTAATTATCCAATTATATTGTTTTTAAAATGTTCTATTTTATAGATATAGACTTTAGCTGTAAGGTTAGGAGAGCAATATAAGTGTATGCTCATCTCAGTAAAGGAACCAGGGGACCTTAAGATCAGGTCACAGCTTTTAAGTTTCACAATAAAGCTCTTGAAATGCTGCTAACTGTAAACATCTAATTTCAAAACAAAACAGGAAACTGCTGTGTTCTTAAACTCATGTTGCTTCTGGAATGGATTTGCTATATTTCTAGATGCTTTTGCAAATAAAATATCCTGCCACCTAAAAGGAAGAGTGATTTAAATATCTGAGGATTGCTCATAAAATGTTTTTCTGGTATAGTCTAAGGACTACAAGATAACAAGCTATTCTAGTCATTGTGAAAATGCATGTGAATATGCAAGAAAAAAACTTGTAAATAGTGGAAATTTAATTGTTGGGACTAGCTCACTGCAGAAGCAGAAACTTGTGACTTTAAAATTAATTGCTCTTAGATGTAAAATGTCTATTTTTAGTATTAAGTAGCTGTAGAGTTACTTGTATATTTGAATAAAAATTAAAAAGAAGACAAACCATAAAGCACAAAGAATCAAAGAATCACAGAATATTCTGGGATGGAAAAGACCCACAAAGATCATCCAAGTCCAACTCCTGGCCTGGCACAGGACACATCAAGAGTCATACCATGGGCCAAAGAGAATTGTCCAAATGCTTCTTGAACTCTGTTGGGCTGGTGTAAGGGTCAATCTGAAGTTTCCCTTGTTTTTGCCTCACGACCGTCCTGAGAAGACCCCGAGGATCCCCACCCGGGCTGACTCTGGACAATGGTTTTCTGGCCTGGTTGAGGTGGGTGCTTGCCAAGTGTCTGTGTGCAGGTGTGCTGTGCTCACTGGACCGTGCTGTCATGGTACCAGCTGAAGCCTGCATGTACTGCATGCACGCACCTGTCTCCCAGACCACCTCACAATGGTCCATAAATCTCCCCACCTCTTGGCCAGAAGCCACTTGCTTTGGAAAAGGACTATAAAAGAGTGACCCTCTGGAGAAGACCCTTGAGATGAAGATCCATCCATTGGCTGGCCCATGAGGACATCCGTCTTGTCTGTTGGTAGCTATTTCCCCATTCCCGTTTATCTCTCTCTTTCTATGCTCTGTTTCCTTTATCTCTCCCCTCTATTGCAACTGAGTTGTTGGCATTAATAAAAATGCATTGCTGTTGTTGAATAAACTGATTTTGTCCCCTGCCATTTGCCTGTTTGCACCTCTGAGATCAAACGAACCATCACGACCCCCTCTCTGTATTAATAGTGGATCCTGACAGCTGGTGCTGTGGCCATTTCCTTGGGGACTCTGTTCCAGTGCTCAACCATCCCTAGATTAAATATCTTTTTGTAATATCAACCTAAACTTCTCCTGACACAGCTTCAGGCCATTCCCTCAGGTCCTCTCACTGTCACCACAGAGAATAGATCAGTGTCTGCCACTCCCCGTCTTCTCACTGTTGAGAGGAATTGTAGGTTGCTCTGAAGTCTCCCCTCAGTCTCCTCTTCTCCAGGCTGAACACACCAAGTGACCTCAGCTGCTCCTCATACAGCTTCCCCTCCAGACCCTTCACCTTCTCTGCTGACCTCCTCTGGACACTCTCTTAGAGCTTAATTAATGTCTTTTTTATATTGTAGCACCCAAAGCTGCCCCCAGCACTGGAGGTGAGGCTGCCCCAGCTCAGAGCAGAGCAGGACAATCCCCTCCCTTGCCTGGCTG